AAATATGCAGAAGGAAATGTGACTCCTGAATAGCAGAGAGAATGCTGAGCATGATGCTACATACCTACATAAGTAACTTACTGGGTTAGTCCCAGACATTCTTGGAGAGGGACGGGTCTCAAAAGATCAGCACCACAATCTACCTAGAGCAGTAGATATGTAGAGGAAGTTGGCACCTCAGCATGTCTGATTTCCAGAGCCTGTAATCCAGAGAGGACTCCTACTGGGTGAGATCATTCTCTCTTGCCTAGTTTGAGCTGAAATATTATCTTGCTCTCAACTGAAGAACTCATTTATTCTTATGCATTTTCTAATCTGTATGCTTTCTCCAAGTTCAGTTTGCTTTTTGCTTAGATAAATGGGTTTACCTGATATTTACTATTTGTGATAGTCTTTTGTGTAATCAGCATTTGGTGAGAAGGAGCTAAACTGGTGAGCACAAACTAAGGGATCCTCTCTCCCTTAAGAGCAACTAGGGATAATGCCTCTTTTGTCCTGAACTTCATAAGCCTTAGACAATATAAAGTGTTGGACTTGGGAGTCAGGAAGACCTGAGTCCAAATTCTGTCTCAGACACTAGCTCTGTGACCCTGGGCATATCAGTTAACCTTTCTCAGTCTTAGATTCTTCATCTATAAAATGACGATAATAAGAATATTTCACAGGGTTGTTATGAGATTCAAAAAAGATAGTATATGAAAAGTACTTTGCAAATCTTAAAGTGTAATATAAATGCTAACTATTATTATTATTAGTATTTCATTTGAAGGGAGGCAGATAGATAGAATTCTAGTCCAATACCCATTTCAGGCACTAGAGAAGAGAGTGCCCAGCCTCAGTAGTATCCCTGTGACCATCTTGACCTTTCCCCCCAGCTAGAGTGATGGAGATATAAGCACTGCTCTTGGCTCCCCTCCTCTGCAGAGGCCTCAGGTCAGATCTGTCCATGCTCCCCCAAGGGCCCTGTGTCCACATTTAGATGACTCATGAGCACGCCGAATTTTACATGTGGACACACCTAGCTCACATATGCTTATAGTTTTCCTAAAATTACTTTGCATTTCTGGTATAAATATCATCTGCTAATATTTTATTCACTATATCACATCAATATTCATTACCATATTTGACTCATAGACTGAGTTTGGTAAGGTGCCTTCTATCTCTATTTTTGCAAACATTTTGAGAGTTAGTTATTCTTTGAATATTTGATAGAAGCCTGTTGTAAATCCATCTGGACTTGGTTTTTTTTTTTCCTTTGGGAATTCATTTTGTCTTTCTGAAATTGGGTTGTTTAAATTCTCTATTTCTTACTCTGTTAATTTGGGTATTTCATATTTTAAAAATATTCATCCATTTCATTTCAGTTTTCATATTTTTGTAAATATTCATTTAGGTTTTCAGTTTTGTTGGCATACATTCTGGTATAATATCTTAAACAATTGCCTTTATTTCTTCTTCATCACTTGTGAATTTCCATTTTTCATTCCTGATTTGGTAATTTGATTTTCCTCTTTCTTTTCTTTTCATTGTGGGGAGAGGAAGGCAAGGGATTCCACATTTAGATAGCACCTACTATGTGCTTTCCAAATATTCTCTCAATCCTCACAACAACCCTGGGAGCCAGGTGCTATTATATCTACAGCTGAAGAGACTGTGGCAGACAGAGGTTAAAGTGACTTGGCCAGGGTCACACAGCTAGGAAATGTCTGAAGTCAGATTTTAACACAGGTCTTCCTGACTCCAGGGCCAGTACTCTATCCACTGAACCACCTAGCTGCCTTATTAAACCACTGAATTAATGAAACCATTAATGAATGGTTTATTTAATTAATCTTTTAAAAAAAAAAACAAACCTCCCTGTTTACTTTTTTTTTTTTTTGGCTGGGCGATGGGGTTAAGTGACTTGCCCAGGGTCACAAAGCTAGTAAGTGTCAAGTGTCTGAAGCCAAATTTGAACTCAGGTCCTCCTGACTCCAGGGCCAGTACTCTATCCACTGTGCCACCTAGCTGCCCCACTGTTTACTTTCAAGAACCAGTATGTTACATGAAAAGAGCCGTGGACTTAGAGTCAGAACATTTGAGTCTGTATCCTGACTCAGTCATTTACTAGCTAGGTGACCACAGATAAGTCACTCAACCTCTATGAGACTATATTCTCCCATCTACAAACTATAAATGATAACAGTACAGTTAATAGGTCATCGAGATGGCGCTGCAGTGGATAGAGTATCAGGCCTAGAGTCAGGAAGACTCATCTCACACTTCACCCTGTTTGCCTCAGTTTCCTCATCTGTAAAATGAGCTGGAGAAGGAAATGGCAAACCACTCCAGGATCTTTGCCAAGAAAACCCTGAATGGGGTCAGAAAGAGTCAGACAGGACTGAAAAACAAGAAACAACAACTTCACAGGCTTCTTTTTTTTTAATTGAGGATACTCTGTAAACCACTATTGTGTAAATAGTATAAACCACTATTGTGACTTGTGTCAACACTAATGTTAATTCTCTCAGATACACGGACCTTGGTTCATTGGCTCATGAAAGTAGATGAATAATATAATATTGTCTGCCAAGAATATTTAGAAGTGGTGAGTGAGGATGCTTGCATCCTCTTCTCAATTCTGCCAGTTTTTTGTTGTGTGACTGAGCTGTGCTTGCCTGAGTTTCAGTTGAACCATCTGAATGATTTTAGAGTTGATTGGTTTTTTTTAGAATTTTAAAATAATGCTGATCCTGACACTGTTGTGAAAATCTGAAACACCGTATGCAAGAACTCTTTGTAAGCGGGAGATTGGCTGGGACAAGCAAATACTCATTTCACAGGGGACAATCATTTGTTACGGACAAAGTTATACTTGCATGTTTTACATGATGTCACATGTGTAATTAATATCATTGCTTGCCTTCAATATGTGGGGGAGGGGCTGGAAGGAAGAAGAGATTTGGAACTCAACATTTTAAAAAAAAAATGAATGTTAAAATCAAGTATACTTAAAAAACCAAAGCATTAGTCTTATGAGGGATTTCAAAACCATATAGATAATTAAGATTTATTTTTCAGAGCAGCAATTTTAAAGGAAAATATTGCTATTTTGACAACACATTATAGAGGGAGATGTATTGGCTTTGGAATCAGCAGCCTGTCTTATTTCCAATCTATGTGAACTTGAGTAAGTCCCTCCACTTCTCGGGGCCTCAATTTCCTCCCCGAAAAATAAAAGGGTTGGACTATTCAGTGGGGGCTATCCTCATTTCAATGCCGGTGTGAGCCTATTGTGCTAATTTTGGGGGGACCTCTTTCTAAGGTCCTAACAAAGGTCCTAACAAAAACAAGCTTCCTAACAAATGCTCATTGACTATCAAGCATTTTTAAAGGGCCTATTATGTGTACCAGGCATTGATCCAAGTTTTGGGTTACAAACAAAGGACAAGCCAGTCCCTGCCTTCAAGGAGCTTCCATTCTACTAGGGAGAAAATATTAACTAACTAGGTCCATACAAGATTTAAGTAGAAGGAAGGTAATTTGGAGCTGAAAGCTCCAAAGGTCCTTAAGGACTGGGAAAGGCCACCTATAGAGAGAGAAGGTGGGCTTTAAGCAGAGTGTTGAAGGAAGCCAGTGAAATTGAGGGAGGAGACTGGACGAGAGCATTCTAGGCCATTTTAGGCATGGGGGACAGCCAGTGCAAAGGCAGGGAGGCTGGAGCATTTTATTAGAGGAAACAGCAAACAGGCCAGTGTGGCCGGATTACAATCCATTGTGTGGAGAGGAGCAGAGTATAAGAAGACTCACAGGTGGGAAGGGGCTGGAGTGTGAAGAATTTTAACTGCCAAATAGAGGGCTTGACATTTGATTCCAGAGGTAATAGGGAGCCACTGGTGTGGGTCATGGTCAGACATGGTCAGATCCAAGCTTTAAGAAGGTCCCTGTGGCAGCTGAGTAGGGAGACATGAGGCAAGACCAAGTAGGAGGCTCTGGTCCTCCTTCCTCATAGCGTGACAATTTAGAGAGACTCTACCAAGGTACCAATCTCAATTCCAGTCCAATGCAGTCCAATAGACATTTATTAAATACCACGGAGGTTCTTTGAGCTAGAAGGGACCTTAGAGACCACTGAGTCCAAGCCCTCTGCACTCCTACCCTCCCTTCTCAGGAAAGAGGACACTGATACACAAAGAGGTCAAGTGACTTGCCCAGGGTCACACAGCTAGTAAATGTCTGAGGCAAGATTTGAACCCAGGGCTTCCTAAGGCCCCATTCAGCTCTGACTCCTCTAATCTAAATAATAGCAACAGCTTTCTTTTGGCTAGTGTTTTTAGGTTTGCAAAGTTCTTTCCTCCCAACTAGCCCATGAGGTAAAGTTGGAAGACCGCCAATTTCCCAGTGTGTGGTATAGGCTCCTGGCCGTGCTATTTTGTTTTCCAATTCTTCCTGTTTTTGTCATTCTTTTCTTCAATCCCCCCAATCCTTCTTTCCCACCACCCCCAGACACACTTAATTTTAAAGCAACATGTTCTGGTCCACATTACTGTGTCCAAGCTTTTGGCGTGAGTTTTACAGCTGGATCGTGCAATGGGCGTCAGGGCCAGAAAGAAGTATGAAAGGATGCAAGTAAACAGGGTGGCAGATGTTCTCCTTCTCCTATTTCCCTCTTTGCCACGAACGAAAATGCCATCCTCCCTGCTTCTGTCATGGCTGGCAGCCCTGCCAGCCTTTCCACTTTTGGCTCCTCCTCCCCAGACCTCTTAAAGAGTCTCCCCAAGAAGTCGTGGCACCCAACATCCTTGGGTGAGAACTTGCAGCTGGTCAGCCATTCCCGAGATACGTTTCCTCCTTCTCCCTTCTTGAAGCCCCACTGCCATTTCGATTGATTCCCTGAGAAAGCCCAGATCTGATCTGTTGGACGTCCAAGCCAGTTGGCACCCACTTCCTGACAGAAGCCAGATTTGTTCACTGAGGCTAGACTATTGACAGCTTGTCCCCAGGCTGGCCCACTCAGTTTCTCATTTGCAAGGTTCCCTGCAGGGCTGGCTCACCTCTCTCTTCCAAGAGTCCCTACTTCCTTCTGTCCCCTCCCTCCCCAGCATCCTCTTCACTTCCTTCCCTTGCAGCCCTGGCTCCTTCAAGTGTTTGTCAGTACGAGCTTGTTTTTCAATTGGGGGTGGGGTGCTGTGTGTTGAGAAATACCATCATGCTTGTCCCTGGTTCTTGTCCTTCCTCCTTCTAGCTACGCATCACTGAGTGTGGTCTCTGTGGTTAGAAGATCCCACCTTTGGAGTGGTGGTCCGACTGCTGCCAGAGAAGAGTTGTCTCCACTGTTTGCTCAGCAAACACCCGAAGGGAGCCCGGAAAAAAAGGAAGACAGCACCCGATGCAATCGCGGATGTGGGTAAGACCTTGCAGCTGCTTGGGGTGCACAGTCCTCGGCAATGAATCCCGAGGAACGCATCGTGACATGGCTCATCTCTTTGGGAGTTTTAAATTCCCCCAAGAAGACCATCTGTGATCCGGAGGAATTCTTGAAGGTGTCTCTGAAAAATGGGGTAGTGCTATGCAAACTGCTAAATCGTCTTCTTCCTGGAGCTGTGGAAAAGGTAACTGAAATGGGCATGGTGTGCTTCCTTGGCCTACTTGGCTGCTTCCTCACCCAGGGCCTTCCACCTCCTGCTGCTGGGTCTGGGCCCTGGCTTTCCCCTCGGGCCTTGAATACCCTTCCTGCTCCCCTGAGCTCCTAGAATTCCTAACTCTTCCATCAAGGCTCAGCTCAATGGCCCTCTCCTCTATCAGGCCTTTCTTTATCTCCTAAGTTGGCTTGTGGTCCTTTCCTCTTCCCTCTCCTTAGGTCGTGTATTTGCCTTTATGTTTACATGTTGAGTCTCCCCAGTAGAATGCAAGCTTCTTGAGGGTAAGGACTGGTGGTTATTTTTGTCTCTGTCACTGTAGCACATAGCACAGTGCCTGCCTGAAACATAAAAGTCGGCACTTAACAAATGTTTGTTGGACTTCAGACTGCCTAGCCCACATAGCCTGGGAGTCAAATACCATGATATCTTTCCACTAGCTAGAAATGATTCCTCGTTATTCATGTCCGAGAAATATGGGAAATGGTTTATGGGCCCTTGGTAATTAGCTCAGTAAGGCCAGGACCACCTCCGTGGGAAAGGTATTCCCTGTTAGAGGAGTGAGATGTTAAGATGTGTGTTTGCACACACAAAGGATACAATTTAACCAGAATCCATGAAATTGCAAGATGTTTAAATCTAGGACTGGGGGCATAGCTGAAAAGAATGTCTATTTCTTTAAAAGTTTACTTTTAGCAACAAGGAGAACCAAGCTATGATGCATGACTTCTGATAACAACTGAAACTAAATGGGTATTTTAAATGGAACACATGATTTGAAGAAGATTACAATGTAGGCATTTCCCTCCCATCCCTCCTTTTAGATTAGCACGGTTAAAGTTTTCCACACTCCCCCTGAGGCAGTTTTCTAAAAGAGAACTCCAATATTTAGGGCAGGGTGCCCAAATAAACCGAGGCCGGGGGAGTAGAGGTGGGGACTAAGTACAACTTGGCCTTGGTCTTCTACAGCTAGGTTGTAACAACTTTCTAGGCTAAAAAAATTACATATGAAAATACTGTGCAGGATGCGTTTGGACCTGGTGTTTGTTGGGTCAAGTGTCCAAGTGGGGTGCAATGGAAAGATTTCTATTTAGAATCAGAGGTCCTGGTTTCAGGTCTCAGCTTGGTCACTTATTAGCTATGAGATCCTGGGAAAGTCATTTAATTTCCCTGGGCCTCAGTTTCCCCATCTATAAAAAGAGGGGGTTGGCCTAGATGGCCTCATCTGTGGTCCACTGTGGGGTCTTGGGCAAGAACTTTCACTTTAATGGGCCTCAATTTCTTCCTCTATCAAATGAAGGAGTTAGACTCAAGGACTTTTGAGGTCCCTTCCAGCTCCAAAGCTAGGATCCTATGTGTGATCTTGGACCAGTCTCTTTCCCTCCCCTCAGTTTCCTCCTCTGTCAAGCGAGAGGGTTGGACCAGATGACCCCTGAGGTCCCATGAACTCTAAATCTCTGATACTATGAAGGTTCCTATGACACTGTAGAAAACAGCAAGGTGGAAAATGTGCTTTTCATCCATTTGAAAACAAGAAAGCAGTTTAAAAAATCCAGACACATCTTAATACCTTGAGATGGGGACAGAGAATGAAAAAACATATGTAGTCCAAATAACTTTGGACTCAAAGTTGGGGGACCCATCAGTGGGTCTTTAGCCTGGGGCCCTGTTCTGAGGCTATTTGTTTGAAACAAAAAACCGTTTTTTAGATTTTTACATCACTTCCTTCAGTAGTTATTTCTCTTCCTGGTTTGACAGTGCCTTCCCCTTCGCCTTAAAAAAAAAGCCCAAAAAGCAAACCAAAAGCAAACCCTACCTAGTTCTCATAAAACATGAGGCATGCTGGGCCTTCTTAGGAAACCCAACTCACTGAGGTTCTCTTGATCATTTCTTTAGTACCATCAGGAGCCCCAAACGGAAGCTGACTGCATCAGTAACATTAAGGACTTCCTCAAAGGATGTGCAGGCCTTCAGGTGGAGGTAAGTCAGTTGGCCTACACAACCTCGGTGCAGGCATCATCAGTACTTTTGGTTTTGTTTTGGACTTGCTCTGCTAATAAAGAGGGGATTTGATATCAGAGTAAGGAGGAAATCTCTCTCCCTTGTTTTCCCTAGAAGCCACTGCAAGGTTGAAGATTAGGCTCTTTTTATTTGCCCCACAGCAGAAATTGATGGTCACTTTGGTGGGAGGCTATCTTTTCCCCAAAACTGCTGGAAAAGACAACAGCAGCAACAATAAAATGAGTGCCTTTCACAGTCCAGCATGAAAGTTTTAACAGTAAACTCAGATGGAACTGATGTGCTTTATATGTGCTTTTCTCAATCTCGGGAAAGCTGATATTTTAGACCAGTGATGTTCAACTCAAATAAAAACTGAGGACCACTAATCTGTACACAAGGATCCTTGTGGACTTCATATTGACCTAGTTTTAAAGTGCAATATTGTCTAAGTTTTGTTGTACTTTTATTTCATTTGTTGGATATTTCCCAATTCCATTTTAGTCTGATTTGGGCTACACTCAGGAGCACTGTGGGTCTCATGCCCTCTGGTCAGTGTTTGACACCTCTGATTTAGACAACAAAGATGGGGCCATTGTCTCTAGCAGGCCACAGCTGTAGACCATACTCCTTTGGGCTTCAGTTTGCCCTTCTATGAAATGAGGGGATTGGGTTAGATCCTGGGTTCCCAAACTGGGGCATATGTACTGCCAGGGGGTTTGAAAAGCTTGGCGAAGGGGTAATTTTTCTCGATGACAATTTATCTCTTCGGTTTCTAGAATTTATTTCATATTTCATACTGAGTAGAAGGTGTGGGAAGGTTTCTTGAAAGCCAAGGGGTATGGAAACCAGAAAAGACTGGAAGCCTCTGGCCTAGGCTGTCTTTTTCAGGGTTTCTGAGCTCTATGATACTAAGATTTACAAGGCCTGAAAACAGAGGGAAGGTCCTGGCATCCTACCACCTTCCGCATCAGCACATGAGTTTGAGGGTGGTTGATCAGATGAGGGAGTGATGCCTTGGCTACAGAAGGCCTGGCCCCTTGGTGGGGGTTATGTGACTGAGAATCTCAGTGGTGGAAGAAAGGAAGATGGGCTGGCACACAACCTCAATGGGACACAAATCTTGCTTTTGCTTGACTTAAAACATGGCCTCTGACCAACTCTGAACAGAGGCTACATTTGGAATGCAATAGGATTCCCATTGGGGAACCTTCTAAGAACAAAAAGAATTAGACAGGAAGGCAAGTTTTGTCTGCCTATCCTCGCTCATTCAAATCTCCCATTCTAGTTTCTTGAAGCCTCAAAATCAAGGGATTCTAAGTCCTGAAAGTTTAACCATGCCCTTCCACTCAATTCCATCCACAGATGTCTGTTCACTTCCCTTATAAAACTGTTTGGTTTGTTTATGTCTGTTTCTCTACTGTCCATTTTGATGTGTGTATGTGTGTGTGTGTGTGTGTGTGTGTGTGTGTGTGTGTGTGTGTGTATATGTATGCATGTGTTTTCTGGCTGAGGTGGTTTGAAAATTAAGGACCTCAATGGTGCACCAGAATTTGATGTGGTATTTTCCCCTTGAAATCAGATGCAAACAGCTTATTTACTTGGTATTAGGTAGGGATGAACCATTCCATATGAATTTTCCAGATAGTCAAAATTGTTGAATGAAGACCTAAGATGTATTTATTAGATGTTTTCTTTCCTTCTTAAACAGATGAAGCTGAACATGATTTAACTTTTTCATGATGGCTTGAGATCATCACGCTTCCGCATTATTATATTATTACATTGAGGTTCTCAGTGTCACGAGTTCTTTACCCCTGCACTAACCGGCCCCAAATTGTTACACTTTGTGCCTTTTATAATTTCAGTTCTATTTTATAATCCCCTATTAATTATCATTTATAACAGAGGCCATAGAGCTGGCCTGGAAGCCAAGGAGATCTGGATTCAAATCCCACCTTTAGTGCATATTGGCTGGGTGGCCTTGGGCAAGTAGCTTAACCTCACAGTGACCCAGGCAACTCTCTGACTATACATTTTAGAAAAGGTGCTGACCTGCATTGGAAGAGGGACTTTCCTCACCTGGGAGTTCCTTATACCAATGAAACCACAGGCCTTGTTTCTGTTCCTGTTCACCCTATCCTAATCCCTCACTGCCAACTGTCATTTTTGCTGTTATCAATGTCTGCCTCTAGCACATCTCCCACCACCTGGCCCCCCTGCCTTTTATTATGAGATGGAAACTTTAACCACCAAGCTTTTTCAAATGCCGTCTAAAATAAAAGTTAATAGGTTCCGAGTGAGGGTCTGGGGCACCCTCCTCTGAGTTTTCAGCTTGGACTTTGTGCCATCTGTTTTGGCTGCTAAGAGACTTTTTTTTTTGTCTACTTCCTGTTCTCAGTCCTGTTTTTTTACAGTTGAGGTTGATGGATAAGTGACCTCAGGACAACTGAAGCCTTGTGTTATACAGTATTCATTTTCAGCCAATGAGGACCACAGGGTTGTACTGAGAGAGGGGGGAAAAGCAGCCTGGAGTATATGAGAGAATCATAGGGATTTGGGTTTGAAGGGATCTTATGTTGTAAAGAGGGCTCCCTTCTTTACTCACAGAATCAAGAAGGCAGGGAAGGCCCTCAGCCCCCAAAAGTACCCCCTCTAGTACCATCAGTAGGACCCATAGAGAGCATCTGGTTTTAAGGGGTTGAAAAGAAAAAATGGACATGTCTGATCCAATTACTATTTAGGCTTCAGGGAGTATGTGGGGGGGGGAGGGGTTGGGAGGGGGTGAGTAGGGCACTCTTATAGTTGCCTCACTCAGGCGGGAGGTCATGGTTCCTGAGTGTGGAGCAGCCATTGTCTCCTCAGCTGCTCCCACTACCCCAATGTGGAGCAGGTGGGGATTTCCCTTGCCCTCTTAGGCTAGACTGAGGGAAAAACCTCAGGAAACAGAACTTTTGACAATGGCCAGTGGGTTTTGTGAAAAAGAGTAATTAATAATAATATAACAACCTCCATTGGTCTTACAACCTAGGGTCTACAGAGCACTGTCCTCAGAGTAACCCTGCAAAGTGGGCAATACAAGGGTTCTGATCCACAGCTGACAGAGGTGGAAACTGAGGCACAGAGAGGGAAGGTGACTCCCACATGTTCACAAAGGTGCTGTCAAAAGCCAGGATTCAGACCTTGGTCTCCTGTGCAGAAGCCCAGCACTCTTTCCGTAAGTCAGAGATGTAGAGGCCACCTAGTTCAATGCCCTCATTTTATAGAGGAGTAAACTGAGGCCCAGGGAGGGGGCAGTGACTTTGGATGGTAGGATCATAGGAGAATAGAATTTGAACTGAAAGGGACCTCAGAGGCCATCTGGAACTAGCCTCTTATTTTTACAGAGGAGGAAACTGAGGCTGAGGGAAGGGAAGTGACTTACCCAAAGTCTCTAGAACCCAAAGCTCTAGAACTGGTCTAGAGCTTGAAGGCACCTCAGAGGCCATCTAGTGTAACTCCCTCTTTCTTCCCCATGAAGACATTGAGGCCCAGGGAGGTGAAGCTTGTCCTGGGGTCACTGGGGTAAGGATCAGAGGTGGGGTTTGAACCAAGGCCCTCTGATTTCCAAGACCTGTGCTCTGCCTAGCACGAACTGTGCTTTCTTCTCCCTGGCAGAGCCTTCTTCCAAAGCTGACTCCCTCCATGAGGACATTCCATCTGCCCAGTTTCTACGGCAGTGTTCCGGCATGCCCACCCCTGAACAGGACTGATTTGCCAACTTTAGCGATGGGTCTTCACGGAAATAGTGCAAACGATGGTCAAGCCCCACTTTGCCAATTAAAAGAGGGTCTATTATGTACATCAGTCGACAAGCATTTATTATTTATTAAAAGCTTTTACATTCATGATTAACATTGGCGGCTCCTTAAGGCTAGTCAGTAACATGAGGAATACTTCCTCTGAGAAAACTCAATTTGAAATCCACCATCTTCTACAAAGAAAAACGCACAAAAGGAAAAAAAAAAAGGCTTTCTACTTTGCTATGTGCCAGGAACTTTGGTAGGTGCTGGGGATAAAAAGAAAGGCAAAAACAACCCTGGCCCTCAGGAAGCTTATATTCGAAGGGGAGCGCCGATATAGAAATCGCTGTATGCGGAGTAGATGGAAAGTAATCTCAGTGGGCAAAGCACTAGCAGCTGGGAGGGGGTGGGGAAGGGACGACCACAAGGCAGTTTCCGGGCCCTGGTTGGTTACGGTTCCTTCCTCCATTCCCCATTTCCTGAAAGAGTGTAGAAAAGGGCAATTGCCCTGTAGGATATTTACTTCCATTTCGTGACAGTAGGAACACTAGAGGATCTATTTTAGCGCGTCTTTTTCTTCCTTTTCTTGAAGTCTCTTGTCCCTAATGGATTTTTAAAAACTGATGCTCTTAAAAAAATTAGTCATTTTCCAGCATTCCCTCCCCCCCCCCACTCCCCCATCCCTATTCCAGTAGAACCCGCCCTAGTAACAAAGGACGGTTAAGCAAAACAAATCCTAACGGAGTTTCCATAAGTAACAATAAGTGCTCAGGAGGATGTCTACTATTGCGTTCTTTGACAGAGTGCTCTCTACTTTTGCCTTTTCTAATTCATGAATACCGAAGCCTTGTAAATATTCCCAGTTCCACTACTGTTAGCCACTTCCTCCCCGCGGCCTGGCCTGGGGCTTAAACCCGTCAAGATTTCTAACAGACATCGATCCCCTTGGGTGCAGAGGATAGAGGGTAGGGAAAAGAACAAACCTAATCCAATGCGTTGCAATAAGCATTTATTAAGTTCCTACTGTATGCTATAAGCATTGCGCTGGGGTTTCATGGACAAAAACCGGACTAGTTTCTGCCCTCAATTCTCCTCAGCTCCGCATATTTTGTGATCCCTCCCCCCTCCCACTCCCCTTTTCAATAACTGCCGAGGCTGAAGCCGTCGGGTCTCCGGGAGCCCATGGTGGGGGTAAGGGTG